AGTAGGGGACGAACTGCTGTCAGCGAGCACCTATTAAGGTTGATGGCGCACGAGAGGGTGATGTCGCCAGAACCGTACATAGCCATGTACACACACTCGCAGATGCACAAACCCACAGACAACACACTCTGATCGATTACACCATTAATTAGTGCTGTTTGTTTCTGGCCTTGAGGCCTGTGCTCAGCAACCGTGATAACAATATAATAATGCAAATGTCAGGGTTGCTCTTATAACTTTTTTTACGGGTCAGCGGGCTTGCGTGTGTAGTGTCTGGAGTCACAGGGCCAACACGTGCTGGCCGAGCTCCTCGCGATGGCAGAGACAGGGCCACGGTTTTGCCAGATATTGGATGAAAAATATTGAGGCGTCGCCAATATCAGCACGCGGATCGGACCCAGAGCGTGGCTCTGGCGGTGGGGTGGAGGGGGTATGTGGGGGCAAGGTGGTGCTCCTCTCCATCGGCCTGCCCTGAGCCACCGGTGGAAATTCCACGTGCCTGTGGCGAGGATAATTAATTCGAATGACAGCATGTGGTTACTTGATGCAAAGCCGTGCTTTCTGCCAAGTTGCTCATCACTTGCTCGCTTATTTTTAAGTTCAGAGGGTGCGCATTTAGTGGCGTGGATTGAAATGACGGGAGGGGTGCGTGGAGGGGAGTCGAGTGAGAGGAGAGGGGGGAGAGAGGTAGGGCAAGGGTGTGTCCACTCCCTTCTGGATCTCTGCCCCCGAGTGAGTCAGCCTCTGGGTCTCCCCGTGACCGCGCCCCATGGCACCAGCGCCGCAGATTCTTCTCCGTGAACGCTTTCCCGACGGCAGCTTTGGGGCCTTCGTGCGCTGCTGCTTCCTCGTGCACCGCCTTGAGAAGCGATCTCGAGTTCTCCCACGTTCCTCGGGCGATGCGTCAACGAGGCGTGGGCTTATTTTAAACAAACTATTAAGTTTAATAATTATTCATCTCCCCTTCCTTCCTGACACTTTTCGTACGGCGGGGAGTCGGATCGGCGATGTTGTTTCTGTGTTCGTACCAAGGTTGGTGAGGGGGAGACGTTGGACGGTTTCAGGAGTAACCTCGTGGTGGGCGTCTGAAACGGTGCCAGCGATGTGATGGGAGCAGGCGGTGGCGTTGGCTTTGTGGTGTACAGTTTGAGACGTAAACTCACGCAGAGCCTCGTAGACGTGCATAGAGACCCATCGACGTGCATAGAGACCCCCCCCCCCCCCCCACGACTCAAACAATCGAAGCGGGCTGTGCCAGTACTGTGTGGTCCACAGTTTGAGACGTAAACTCGCACACAGGCTCAAAGACGTGCATGGAGGCCCTGACATGTGCATATTGACACCCATAGACTACTCAAACAATCAAAGCGGGCGGTGGCGTTACTGTGCGGTCCACGGTTTTGAGATTGGTGGCCGTAATCGTGCTCTGGGCTATTTTTAATTACCGGCTGCCCCATTACGATTGGACGGGAGTGAGCAGCTCTACTTTTGGAGGAGCGACTGACCGTGGCAGCACATCCCAGTAATCTGTAGCGCGGTGGTGATCACGGTGGTGGTGATCACGGTGGTGGTGACCACGGTGGTGGTGACCACGGTGGTGGTGACCACGGTGGTGGTGGTGACCACGGTGGTGGTGGTGACCACGGTGGTGGCGGTGACCACGGTGGCGGTGACCACGGTGGCGGTGACCACGGTGGCGGTAGGGGCGGCAGCTCTATATGGGGACTCAGTTTAGGTCGTGGCATGGATTTCCTCACCGCCGCTGTCTCCTCCTCCTCCTGGCTGCCGTGGCCACGGTGCCTCGGGTTCGGTCGCCCAGTCCCCTCCCCTCCCACCGACACTTCTATTTTATTTAACGTCAAGCGGCCAGCAACAATTGGCACCGTCACAGTTGCAATAGATGAACGCGTTTCTTGAATTGAGCAAAGTTAATGCCGGACCTTGGGGTGGGGAGGGTGGGAAAGAGACGACGACGATGGGAGAGAGGGGATTGCAGAGTGCAGCTGTGGGAGGGATGGATCGTAGAGAGAAGTGTGCGGTGACCGGCAGGTGGAGTGGTTGAACTTCTTTCGCACCGTACGTGGCCAACCGCGCTGGTTGGACGCGATGTGGATGAGGGTGCCGTCTGGTCGGCCGGATTCCTCAACAACCGTCTGTGGAAGGCCCCCTCCCTCCCTCCCCCTCCCTCCCCCCTCCCTCCCTCCCTCTCCCTCCCCCTCCCTCTCCCTCCCCCTCCCTCCCCCCTCCCCCTCCCTCCCTCCCTCCCTCCCCTCTCCCCCTCCCTCCCTCCCCCCCCTTCCCCTCCCTCCCCCCTCCCTCACCAGGCACAGTCGCTGTCAAGTCGCCTCGTTTTGCCCTTCCCTCTCATCTCCGATTAGTTCGGTTCGCGACATGCGGCGCGAAAGCAGTTCAACAAACACGCGCACATCTTGAGAAGGATAACATCGTGCGATGTTACCTGTCTCTGTCAACAGCGTCACGGTGGCGAGAAGTTAACTCCCTCGCCTGGTATACACGAGGTCGTGGGTTTGATCCCGACCCTGACGCCTGTTTATTTGGAGTTTGCGTGTCTCTCCCCGTGGTCGCGCATGGAATTTTTTTTTCCGGATCCTCCGTTTTTTCCCCTCCTCATTTATAAACACGCGTTTAGGTTATTTGGCGGCTACACATGTCCACACGATAAGCCAGGCAGTTTCATCTTCAGTCTTCCTCTCCTTCCCTCAATTATCTGTGTAAAACTCTCCACGCGCGTGCACGTGTGTGTGTATGTGATGTTTCCCTCTTCGCTGCTCACTCTGCCACCGCACGTCCGTGATATTTCACAGCTGGGATGCTAGAGATGAACTTTAAATCTGCGACCACCGGTGCATGACGGAGGGGCCGAGGGGTCGGTGCTTTTTGTGACATTTGCAGCATGAGTCTGGAGGGCTCGCCTATAGAGGGCTCATATTCTTGGTTCTTTCGGTAAAGTCACGTAGAAGGGAAACAAAATAATAAAAATATAAAACAATACATTTCTCAGGACTTTTATCAAATTTTTCTTGTTGTGGGTTTCACACCTGATGATGATTGCTTGTGTTGCAGTCGAAACGTCGTGAGAATTTCATTGTTTTCTATTTTTATTATTTTATTGTTTCCCTTCTACGTGACTTTACCGAAAGAACCAAGAATATGAATCCCTGCAGTCACGAAAGCTTTCAATCAAAATATATAGGGCTCGTCTCTAGAGGGATGTCTCTACAGGGCACGTCTCTACAGGCCACGTCTAGAGGTTGTTAGTCGTGATTCACCAGCTGTGCGCATAGCCTCCCGCCTACGCCATCTTGGGTGGGGTTCAAGCCTCCGGCAAAGCGTCCAGATAAGGTGGGAGAGAGGGAGGATTACGGAATGGTACTGAATGAATGAAATCCAGTCGATAGGATCGGGGGTCTGGATCGGGGGAACGCGTGGTAGGGTCCGGGCGTTATCAGGGCTGCGGGAAGCTGAAGGTGTTGCTTCTGTTGGTGCTCGGTGATTGACAGCTACCCAAACGCCCCCCCCCCCCCCTCACTCAACACCCCACCACTTGACAGCACCCGCAGCCTCCTCCCTGTGGAGGAAACCAAACCTCTCTCTCTCTCGGTAGAGATGCGGCTGAGAGAGAGAGAAAAGTCTGTCGTGGGCAAAGGAGGACGAGGATTTCGACGGTTGGATAGGAAGTCAAAGTTGGCTCCCAGCGGTCTCTGCAAGCCCGTGTTTAAATTGAGACCGCCGGTTTTGTTGTGAAAATACACTCGGATTTGTGATCCTGTCAGATGATATCGTGACCCATGCTAAATTTAAACCTTCAGTAAAATACATCATCATCCATGATCTATCCGCTGCTGGCTGAATGGCTCCCCAAGCTGTCGCCGCCTCCTCCCAGGGTCTCACGACTTTAACAATCCATCGTCGGCACGCGAGCCAATTTCGTCGCTCCATCTCCGCATCGGGGCAAGATTTCTCTCACCTTTGGCCGCCGCACCTTCGCGAGTCTCTCTCCGTGAATCCCTTCTACAGGAGATCTCTCGACGGGGGAGCGGGGAGGGACACTCGGCCTGGGGGAGGGGAGGGAAGGGGGGGGTGGTGGTGGGCCGACATACGACTGCGATTACCCAGCGCATTGAAATACAAACATGCACGTCTCGCCCGTCGGTTGACACAACGATATCGACACACACGTTGAGCAGGTGTCACCTCTGTTATGCGAGCTCGCGTTGGCTACAGCTGCTCGTTATCCTGTGTCGTCACCATCATCATCCTCACCGTCGTCATCACCATCATCAACCGTGATGAATCCTGCGCTGGATGAAAAGTAAAGTTGCGACAACGAGGGCCCGGTCGTCGAGACTATGATGGATCTGTGGCATGGAACGTCGGTCCAACATCATGGACACAGTCCCCCCCCCCCCCCACCTGCACCCCTCCTTCCCTGCCTAGTCAGCCAATCCTCATCCCATGGCGACAGCCAGATTGGACAGATTTAAACTGGCCAAATATCCCAAAGGAATCGTAAATACGTCGCAGGACGTGGGCTGGACCGAGGTCGTTGCAAGTCGTCCCGCTGCTGGAAGATGTCGAGGCACGCCTGGGTTCACAGTTTGTCCAACGATGACATCGGCTCGAGTGCACGCGCTCGCACGCACGCACGCACGTGTTTACGTGACTCTGTCCACCTGTGCACACGTGTGTGTGTGTGTGCGCCTTCTACCAGTCATCTCAGTCATGTAACCCACAGCCACCTGGGTCTGCCATCCAGCCTTCAACACGTCACGTGACGGCCTCAGATTGCACCGAGCCTGGCACAAGCGCTGTGGCAAAGTCACCGCCGCACGGTGGCGAACGGCGGCCGTCGCCGTGCGTTTCTACCCGGCCTGTGCATAACCGTGCGTGCGTGTCCGTGCGTGCGTGTCCGTGCGTGCGTGTCCGTGCGTGCGTGTCCGTGCGTGCGTGCGTGTCCGTGCGTGCGTGTCCGTGCACAGATGCGCTCGCTGGAGGCGGAGAACTCGATGTTGCGGATGCGCGTGTCGGAGAGCGAGGAGGTGGTGACGAGCGAGGTGACCGGCATCAAGGCGTCGTTTGAGCGGGAGCTCGCAGACGCGCGCCTTTGCCTCGACAACGTGGCGCACGAGAAGGCGCGCATCGAGATCGAGAGCGGGAAGCTCCGCTCCGACTTCAACGAGCTCTACAGCCGGTGGGCATCACACGTCCCCCCCCCCCGTCCCCTGGCACCCCCCCCCCTGCCATTCACCCAGCCCCCCCTCTACTTCCGCCTACGTCGAGAGCCCTTCCGCGGTGTTGCCAATCTAACGATTTTTGTCGACCAATTTAAACGCATTTTTGGGTTTCTCCGCGCGCCGGAATTTTGTCGGAGCGACAGAACGTAGCGACTTGGTGGCCCGAGGGCATTGCGGTGATTTCAGGGTGTGATTCCAGCTGCCGCGCGTGGTGAGGATTGTGTAGCAGTCTGCTGCGTTTAATTAAATCCCGGTGGAACTCTCATGCGATTTAGGCATATTATTATTTTCTACTCGAGGGACGTCCAGGTTTGTTTTCCGCTCCAATTCCACCGTCGGTTCTCCCTTCCCCGACCGGAGGCGCTGTGCGCCGGAGCGACTTTTGGCTCGTCGTCGCGACGGCCCAGTTTTTGGCCACCTGGTTTTCCCAGTTGTTAGGCCGTCTCTCCCCCTTCTTCGAGTACTGGCCACCACGTGGCCGCACCTCCCAGAGAGGCACACGTGTTGTGTCGCGTCGTGGCTGGGTGCATCGTGTTGAGACGAGCACGTGTCGAGTTCCGAGCAGGGCATGGCTTTTAAGGGATCAGCAGAAAGAGTGGCAGCAAAGTTAGTCAAAGACTGCATTTCCTAACAATAAGAATACTAACAATGGTGATCTTGGATGGTTATGGATATAATGATCCAATTAAAATCGATCCGGATGCTCGTGATAAGATTCTGTGCGTGAGTGTAAAGAATCAGAGTCTTTAGATTGAATACCAACTTTAGATTCTGTAGAGAATTATTTACCCCACTGTAGATTATATTTTTCCCTGCCACTCTATCGCTCTATTGCTAGACACCCAGACAGGTCCACAGACTCTGTAGAGTTACGCACCACGCTACGTTACAACAGCAAAAACAACAGTCATTCCCAAATGGAATCGTCACCCAGTAATATTAATTATTCACGACAGCGTGGCTGTTAATTACGAGCCCACGCAGAAACACGCGAGCCGACTGTACAAATGGCACGGTCGGGTCTGCAGTGTACAGTGGTGCAGCGTGGTTGGCATGGGGCCCCAGTGCAAGGAATGCAATGGTGGGGCGGGAGGGGGGAGGGTATCCGGGGGGTGGTCTGGTGGGGGGGGGGGGGCCCTTCTCGGCGGCCCGTGGGCCCCTCTGGCCCGTAGGCCCCCCAGTTCAGCTGCACCGCCCGCGCTCTCGACAGCTGCGCCTTGCCGCTAGCCGTGCGCGTGCGGCCGTCGGCGCGGAGTTGCAGCTGTCCCACACGCCGGGATTGACAGGAGACGCGGCGCATGCTCGCGTTACAATCGCGCTTTTATACTCCCCCCCCCCCCCCCCCCATCGCCCCCCCCACCCCCCCAGCTTTTGTAACAGCTGTTTATTTTGTTCATAGTTTATTTTCTTTGCTTTCGAGATGACGCTGCCGCCGCCTCCTCCTCCTCCGTCGTCATCCCTCCTCCATCATCATTTACACATTTTCACTGTTAATAATCGCGTTCAAGCTGAGCTCGCACACTTTAACCGTCGTCATTTTCATTACCGAGCGGCGTTTAATGATCAATTTCTGCAAAAACCAAACGACGGGCTGAGCGTTGGGGGGAAGGCGTCGCTGTGCGAGCGATCGACGCCCGGCACGCCCCGACCAGCGATGGCCCCGTTCGCTCTCTCTCTGTCCGTCTCTCCGCGCCGTGTGCTGTCTTACTCCTCGGCGATGCGTGGCCACTTTAAATCCCTCCTCGTGGTGAAATCCCGTCCTTCCCCCAACCACCCGCCCCGCACCTCCGATTTAGCACGGTTGGCTACGTACGGTGCGAAAAAAGTTCAACAAACGTCCGTACAAATCCGCCCCGGCTGTCCACTGTACAGTGACGATTTTCTGTGGGGTGGTGGGAGGGGGGGGGGGTGTGTGAGACGGGGTCAGACTCACGTTTCGTGTCTGTCCCCCACCACCCCGGCCCATCGAACCCCAACCTCCCGACCCACGCCACCCGTCGGTTATCGAGACGCTCCACTGCGGCGTGGCGGCGCGCGGTGCCACGTTGCCCTTGCGGCTTCCCCCTCCTCCTCAACGCCCCATCCCCCCTCGAGGGAGGCCCTGGGCCAAAGGCAGCGTTAAACCAGCGGGGCTGAGGACGCGACGCCTCATCGTTACGCGTCGCTGCGTGCACACCGAGACGCGGATCGCCAACCCCATTCATCATCATCACAGCAGCAGACATGATCTATCCACTGCTAGATGAAGACCGCCCCGAGCCATCGCCGTATCCCATAGCCTTGCGGGGCACCGTCTAGTCCGGCTCTTGCACACGAGCCGACCTCATCGCGACATCTCGGGCGAGTTCCCTCCGTTGGCCGCCTCCCCGCCAGCCGTCTCGGCCGTCTCGGCCGCCATCCCGCTCCGTTTGGTGGAGTTTGATTTGGCGATAGCCGACAGCTCGGAGAGACGTGGGAGGTCCAAATAGGTAGATGTTAACTCCCTCGCCTGGTATGCAGGAGGTCATGGGCTCGATCCCGACTCTGACGCCTGCTGCTGTATATTTGGAGTTTGCGTGTCTCTCTCTCCCAGTGGTCGCGTGGATTCTTCTCCGTACCCTCTGGTTTTTTTCCTCCATATTTAGAAACATCGTGCGTTTTAGAGCATTTGGCTGCTATACATTTCCACTTGATAAGCTTTTGAAAAGAGTTAAAATGAAAATAGTGAAGTTTAGGTGCAATCGCTCCTTGTTGGTGGGGGGAATCTCATTCGTGGCGATTTGCCAGGCACCGCACCGTGCAGATTCTCGGACACAGAGAACCCAAGCCCATCTCGGCATCCTTTATTTAACCTTGCGAGTGAACCATTCGTACAGCCGCCTGGTTAAATAAAGAGAGACCCGATCATGGCCTTGGAATGCAGGCAGCGACCACACAGGCTGCATTAATGGTCGGCCTGGTCAGCTGACCGAGCAAGGCGTGGGCTGGAGGGTGGCGGGGTGGGGGCTGGTTGGAGACAGAGAGGGTGGGGGGCATAAGGGGGGCTCGGAGGGGATGTGGGGGGGGTATCAGGGCCCGGTTTGCACACCTTTTATTTTTAGCCCCTTACCGCAATGTCCTAAAACTGTTGCTCGCTCGTGCTCGTAGTGTGGGTACGGGGGTGGGGCTGGTAGGGGTGGGTTGGTGTTCGCTAGGGCCTGGAGCGGTGTCCCCAGGGGGCTCCGGCTTGGAATCAGTCGCTCCATTGTGGCCCCACGCCCACGAGACCCTGACTCAGACCCAGATGAAGTCTTCTGTTTAGCCTTTTGCAACAAAAAAAAAGTAACTCGTGCGGCCAGTGACTTCGCAGCTGAGCGAGTTTGTCGTTTACAAAACAAAAACCATGGCGACTGCCTCCGTGGAGTTGGCGGAGAGGCGGGTCAATAAACAAACTCAACGAGAGAGTGGGAAGGCCCCCCCCCCCGCCGCCCAGCCGGGCCCTCGCTCATGGCAAGGGCGAGGAGCCCCACAGGAGGCCCCAAACCTGCCAACGATTTCTCACGGGCGGCGTATCCCGGGGCTCCCACGGTCGCCGCCGTAACGAGGCGGGGCCCTCGTTCTGGGGAGCGCCATGGGCCTGCGGACATGCCACGCCCCAACGCTCAATGCCGCTCTTCCTCCACCTCGCATCTCCTCCTCCTCCTCCTCCCACCTCTTCCTCGCATCTCCTCCTCCCCTTCTCCACCGCGGGTTCCCGGCCCACCCAGGGGACCCGACCTCGCAACCCCCAGCCGCTTGGAGGCAGCTGCTGAGGATTTTGTTGGTTGCAGCAGTTGGTGATGAAACCGGTCGAGTGGCGATGCCCTCGGTCAACCCGCCACGCCTCGCGATCGTCGCCATTTAACGTCCGCACCGCGCCTCCCGCGCGGGATATCCGGAGGTGCCCAGCGGCAGCCGTCCTCGTGTGGCACGCGGTGAACGCGGCGTCCTGCGACGAGCGGGCATTAGTCGGCCAGAAGGGGGCTCCCCACTTACTGTCCCTTGTGATAATTCATCAAATTGGGACCACCACCACCACTACCACTCACGCAGTCTCTGCTCCGTCTGGAATATTCAGGGCGCCCGCACTGCCGATATTACGGGAAGGCCGTGCACAATCATCGTACGGCCCTTGGGCCAATCCGACGCCGGACGAAAGCCTCCCCGGGCCTTGTCGGTCGTGGGGGTTGTGCGACCATACTTCACCACGCTGGTCCGTGCCGTTTTTTTTTAATGAAGGCGAGGGGAGTCCTTGGACCGTTTCTAGCACAACTCTCGTCACCGACGTTAGCCGTGAGCGGGAATCGAACTCGGGTCGCCGGATTCCTTGTGGGGTGTGCTGACCGCAGTGCCACCGCTCCTCCACGTGTATAATTATTACGCAGCGGGGGAGTGGGTGAATTCCTCTTTGAGTCAACGTAATTATTGTTTGGCAAGGGTGTAGAAATTCCACCACTGGCTTGGGGTCACTAACTAGACGAGCGTCCACCCCCCTCCCCACCTTCCACCATGCTTGCCTGAGCAGAGGAATTATCCTGCGTCCTTTGCAGTAATACATTTTATTTTATTTGAATGTGCCGCTTTGTAAGCGCTGTGTAAACGCGCGCCCTTGTGTGAGCTCACACTGCAGGCGGCTGCGGAGCTGCCGTGGGTGTGGATGTGGGTTGGTGGGTGTTCAGTGGGTTGGGTGCATCACAAAGGCCTAGAGCATTTCATCCATGGCTGAGGCAAGCTCGTATGGGGTTATTTATTTAATTAACCAGCCCCCCCCCTTTCTCGTCATTGCTATCACCTAAGCTCACCGCGATGGCGAGTGTGTAGCGGCCCGCTCGCACTTCCCTTTCTTTCCCACCCCCCTTTCTTTCCCACCCAGAGACTCTAACCTCCGGCCCCACGGGCTATGACCTCCTCCAACAGAAATCGTTGGGCAATTGAGTCGAGGACGCCATCCTAAGTGTCCGTGTTGCTCGAGGTAACGTGTACAGGCCTTCGAGGTGAAAACAGCGGCACAGCGGGTTGGGGTGCCGCGTGCTGTCGGCCCCAGCAACCTCGGTTCGATTCGAAGCCATGGCTAACATCCGTGGAGGGTGATCTCTGAACTGGTCCTGGGCTCCGTCTTCCTTCAACAAATCCGGCCTGATGAGCTTGGTGAAGTTTGGTTAAACAATTTGCATGACTGATACAGCATGGGCAAGGCCTTCATCCAACAGTGGATTGACAAAGGGCTATAAATTATTGCCGTTCCAAAGGAGTTTATATTTCCTGAGTTTTCCACGATCAATGCGCCTGACAATGGGCAACAGGCTGAGCCTAAACAAAATATAAATTCTGCTTTATCATCGTCATCAGTCATGGTCAATCCACTGCTGGATGAAAGCCGCCAACGCCACCACCGCCATTCGCCGCTCGTTCCGCACACTGCACGCTTACTTCAGGCGTCATCTTTTGTATGCCGTAAACGTCACAAATACTATCGTCTCGATTCCATGAACTTTACCAACATCTCATCTTCAATTGCGCGTCGTTTGACCATCCCAGCATGCGGTAAAACTTCCCACTGAGTTACCTCCCCTGTCGGACATCTCTCACTTCCATTTTGCCGAGTTAATTTTTTCACATTCAGTTTTGAGTTTTTTACTCTCCTGCCTTCTGAATAAAACAGAAAACGCCGAATGTGTAACGTTCAATAATTACTCGCTAGGAAACGTCACATCGTTACACATTAATCAGTGGCGGCAATGGTGGTGTCGGTCGTAGAGGCGGCGATGCAGGTGGTGATAAGCAGTGGTGCAAATTCTTCTGGCAACGGTGGTGGCGGTAGCGGTGAGAGTGATGGTATTGTTGGTGCAGTGGTGGATGGTAGTTGTCGCTGGTATTGATGGCAGTGTGGCGATGATTGCAGCATTGTTGTTATTGTTTGTGTAGCGATGGTGGTGATGGTTGCGGTGCTAGAATTGATGATGGAGCTGATGACGGTGGCAGTTGTATTGGCAGTGCCGGTTACATCGGCAGTGCGTTTTCCGGCGATGGTGCTGATGTGGTGATGACGGTGTCCGGTTAGTGGCGGTGCGGGGCGGTATTGTGGGTGTCATCGAAGGTGATTCTTGCCGTAGTCGTGATGGTGCCCGTCGGTGACCCCGCCGCGTGTCTCCCCGCGTGCCCCCCCCGCGTGTCTCCCGTGTCCACCCCAGGATGGCGCAGAAGGAGCGGGACCTGGCCACAGCGCTAGGGCGCAACAAAGACCTGGAGGCGCAGCTGGGCAGCAAAAGTCACGCGCTGGGCACCGCGCTGGCACAGCAGCGCATCCTGGAGGACGAGCTGCGCTCGCTCAAGGCCAGCCTGTCCTCGGTGAGCTAAGGGGCGGGCGGTGCGGGCTGCGCGGGCGGTGTGAGTGTGTTGGTGGCACTGGCGGTGTGTGCGAGGTAAACCGTCGTTCTGGTGGGGCGAGTGGTGAGCGGTGGTCCTGGCAGAGGGTGAGTGAGTGGTGGAGCGGTGGACACGCCATGCTGTGGTGGCCGCTCCTAAACCTCGAGTGATGCTTCACGTTGATTAATGCGAACTTCAAACGACCAATCGCGGGGAACATTCCACTCTGGGTGTTTTACGCGGATGTCCATTGACCGTTAGAAGCGAGGGAGAGCACATCGAGACGGCCGTGTCTCAGCCAGGGGAGACCTGCGGTCGGTGACGAGGAGGAGAGGGGGGGGGGGATGTTCATCGCTTGCTAAAGTAATCGCCTACGAAAACAAACAAAAAACTGAGCCACAGAAAATACAATTGCATCGACGAGTTCCTTTTACAGCCCGTTGTGAACCCACGGCCTTCTTCAAGACCTCCCCCACGCCGCCCCGGCGATGGGTCAGGCTGGCTTGGTGAAGCTGCGCTGTCCAGGGTCCACCACCGATGTCAGCCGTGGTCCGGGAATGAAACTCCCATTGCTGGGTTCAGAGTGCGGTGCGCTAACCACTGCATCACCGCGCCACCCCAAACCGTTAAACGCCGCAAGAAAATAATTTAAGTGGAATAAGTTGGTATTTTTAAGTGGTGAAGTCTCTTCTCCAAATGTCTCCTTTGCAAAAGAGACTTAAGAATAATGACGAGACGTTTCAAGAACGCCCCGTCACTTGGAGGCATCTCTGATGAGCGCTTGTTGCAGCGGTGGACCTTCACCGGGCCGTGTGGAGTGCAAAGTGGCTTCCCATTCAAGCGAGCGTTCACATCCGCCAGCCCCTGCTGTAAAATTCCACATTCCGGTGCTGGCGGCTGGCCACATGAAGGCAACGACTACTATCTATAGCACCTTTTATACGTACGTACCAGTGTACGCACTTACGTTGAACTTCTTTCGCACCACACGTAGTCAACCACGCTAAGCGGAGGTGCGTGGGAAGAACAACGAACTAAACGCAAAAAATAAAAAGACGACAAAACACAAAAAAATTACCTAGAGGACGGCAGAGCTTTGTAGTGGGGGGGGGGGGAATTTGGCAGCGGCTCATCGGGTGGCTGCTGCTACCACGCTGCCTGCTTGCCCCTGGTTCCTCCCTGCACCTCGGAAAGTCGTCCTCTCTGTGTGCGTCTCTCTCTCGGAGAGCGAGCGAATACGGTGTGGTGTGTCATTAGTATGTAATTCGTCTCGTCGCGAGAAATGCGAATGACCTCGTGAAAAGATAACGACCGTGAAGTGGAGCGGTTACATTTTTGTTTTCGGCCGGTTGGGGCACTGTTTTTGGCAGAGGTCACGGTACAGTTGGAAACGTGATCTCATCACCCGAGCAGATTAAACCGCAGAGTGCCCATCGGTGTAAACGTTGGTTTGTGCTGCTGCTGCCGCTCCTGCCGCCGCCACTGCCGCTGTAGCGGGAACTCGTACATCCTTGGTTTCACTTCAATTAAAGCCCGTCCCATAAATACTTTGCGATTTCAAAAAGGAAACCACCAGTTGACTCGTGGTGACGGTTTTAAATTGGAGTAGGCAGCCAGAACAGACGCGATTTTAAAAGTTTTAAACGTCTCGGGGGAAATTCGACAAATTTATGGAACTACTTTTTCGTCCAATAAGCTTTCCTGTACGCTGTTAACATCTTAGAACTTTATAATCTATATTCACATGTGTTTAATATCATCTTTCTGCTATTAACGTCCTAAAATTATCTTCGTTACAAAATTAACTTGTTCAATATCGTATTCTGCACATTACATGCGTATTTATATTTAGCATCGATAGTCACGATTAAAATAACCGCGTGAACAACCTCTTTAACATCCACACACAGCAATTCTTTAAATCCCAATAACCTGTGAATCACATTCACTGTAGCCTTCAACCTTTTGAAAGTTTCGGTACAATTCTTTAAAACACCGTCCTTCAAACCTCGCCCCACTATTCTGCACGATCACCGCATGGCATTTCAGTGAAGCTCAGGCATTTCCATCCGGCCAGGCGGGGAGTCATTTTACGTTGCATTTTTGCAGCATTACTTTGTTTCTTTACGAGCGATTGACCCAAAAATAAATCACGAGAGCCGCTGCCACTGAGAGTGGGCAGGCGTCAGAGTGGGGGCGGGGGGCGGCAGTAGTTATGAGAGCAGAGGGGATGAATGAAAGGCCTCTTTGTGTCGACAACGGTGCTTGTACAAGGAGTGAATTTGACGTCGCTGCTCGCTGCAGAGACGCCAGGGTTGGGCCTCACCGGGGTTGGGCCTCACGGGGTTGGGCCGCACCGGAGTTGGGCCGCAGCGGGGTTGGGCCTCACCGGGGTTGGGCCTCACCGGTGTTTGGCCGCACCAGAGTTATCAGACGTCTGTCCGAGTGTGGAATAACGGCCCGACCTCTGCAAAGGAAAAACCTAAAGCGCAGCGGTTTGCCCAAGTGGACCCCAGAAAAGACCGCACCTTGTAAAAAAAAATGTTATTCTTCTGAATCACGTAAAAAAAAGGAAAAACATGTTTAATCTTGCCTGTGACTCAGTTCCAGGGAGTTATGTGGGCGATAGTGGGAGTCCCTGGGTGGCAGGGTGGGGGACGGCTGGCTGGGCAAGTTTGAGCAAAGGCCGGATGAGAGCGGGAGCTGCTGGCAGTCTCGGCACGCCCTGAGAATTTGTGCGCAAGCCGCAGGGCGGGTGGCTGCCGACGCTTCCCACCCCCCCCCCCCCCCCCCCCCTGCGCAGCACCGCGCGCTGCAGCCGGATCGTCGCCCACAGCAAAGTCTCTCTGAGCGAGTGCGAGCCCATGGAGACAAACGGTGCGAGAATCGGACCCGGCAGAGAAACGATAACGGACGTTGAAATGTGCGGTGACGAACTGAAACCCGCATAAAACTCCAACCAACACGGGAACGATTCAACAACAGCTACGCATAAAATGTACGCAAAAGAGAAATAAATCGGAAGGATACGATCTCATGCGGTCGGAAACTTGTCTCTGCCTGTAGGTGGCTAGCGATAGTGGGGGGGGGGGGGGGGGGGGGGGGGGGGGGGGCTGGTGAATGGGGTCGTTGCCGAGGGTGCATCGGATCCGGCATTGCTCCTTGTCACTGGCGTCAGCCGCTGGCACGACTCGAACCGAGGTCACCGGGGTTCTTAGCACAGTGCGCTAACCGCTGCACCACGGCTCCATTCTCGGCTGATTTTCACAAAATGCGTTTATCCAAACAGTCTGATCACTATAATAATAGAAGAGACATGCAGGAACTGTTACATTATCTACCAACACACACGTGTTATAATATGGAGCTTGTGATGATTTTTAAGTTCATCAGTGTAATCGTCACTTGGAAGCAGTGGCGTGCGTGCGTGCAGTTTGCATCCGGAGAGAAACCTGCTGTGTGTGTACATACACTGGTCGGGAGAGGTGACGTAGCGTTTGGTGCACTGCGCTACAAACCAGGGGACCCAAGTTCAATTCCTAGCACAGAGTCAACTACAGTAGTCATGGGCCTCCCCTAGGTTGACTCAGCCTTAAATGGCTACCATGGTAATGGCCACCCATCTCCTCGTGTGCCGTGCCGGCCTTCATTGGTGCTACCCGCGAACAGCACTTGCCCCCAATAGTCTATTGAGGCTGTTGGTTAGCACGGTTGGCTACGTATGGTGTGAAAGAAGTTATAATACAAGTCTACACAGGTGACCTTTGCCATTGCACGAACGCTAGCGCGCGTGTGTTTGTGTGCGCCCTGCATGTGACCGTGCAGCTGGAGGGGAACCTGCTGAACCTGAAGAAGCAGCTGGAGGAGGAGACACTCGCTCGAGTCACCGCCGAGAACGCCGCCCAGAGCCTCAAGGAAGAGCTCGAGTTCCGTCGGTCGATGTTCGAAAACGTGAGCTGCCCCCCCGCACCCCCCCCCCATGCACCCCCCCCCATGCACCCCGCCCCCCATGCACCCACACCCCCTCCCCCCACCCTGTCGTGGTGGTGTATTGGTCAGCACGCTGGAACCAAAGATGGCGGTTCAATTCCATCTCCCTGCCCGGCAGTTGAAACAACGGTGCAGGTTTCTCAAATCTCCCCCCCCACGCCCTGGCGCCCTCTGCCCATCCACCCGCGCGGCGTGAACGCGTTCACCATCCCGCGCCCACGTGAACGCGTTCACCATCCCTCGTGAACGCGTTCACCATCCCTCGTGAACGCGTTCACCATCCCTCATGAACGCGTTCACCATCCCTCGTGAACGCGTTCACCATCCCTCATGAACGCGTTCACCATCCCTCGTGAACGCGTTCACCATCCCTCGTGAACGCGTTCACCATCCCTCATGAACGCGTTCACCATCCCTCGTGAACGCGTTCACCATCCCTCGTGAACGCGTTCACCATCCCTCGTGAACGCGTTCACCATCCCTCGTGAACGCGTTCACCATCCCTCGTGAACGCGTTCACCATCCCGCGCCCGCGTGAACACGTTCACCATCCCTCGTGAACGCATTCACCATCCCGCGCCCACGTGAACGCGTTCACCATCCCTCGTGAACGCGTTCACCATCCCTCGTGAACGTGTTCACCCTCCCTCCTGAACGCGTTCACCATCCCTCGTGAACGCGTTCACCATCCCTCGTGAACGCGTTCACCATCCCTCGTGAACGCGTTCACCATCCCTCGTGAACGCGTTCACCATCCCTCGTGAACGCGTTCACCATCCCGCGCCCGCGTGAACACGTTCACCATCCCTCGTGAACGCGTTCACCATCCCGCGCCCACGTGAACGCGTTCACCATCCCTCGTGAACGCGTTCACCATCCCTCATGAACGCGTTCACCATCCCGCGCCCGCGTGAACACGTTCACCATCCCTCGTGAACGCGTTCACCATCCCGCGCCCACGTGAACGCGTTCACCATCCCGCGCCCACGTGAACGCGTTCACCATCCCGCAGTGCGAATGCGTTTGCCGCCACGGCGTTCACCACCGTAACGTTCACCCCCGTGGCGTTCACCACGGCAACGTTCACCATGGCAACGTTCACCACGGCAACGTTCACCACCGCAGTCAATGATCGGCAGGGCTGCGTGCGGCGGGGCTACAGACATTCCGGCCCGCCCGATCGACGTGGGAAGAGGAGACCAAAAACTCCACAGAGTTCACTCGAGTGGCGGTGCTTTTTCTCCGGCAGCGGGGTGAGCAGGCGTTTGCAGGCCTGCACCTTTAAACTTTATTTTTAAATGTTACGACCGCCCCGCCATCGCGTGTCCGCCGCAGGAGGTGAAGGAGACGCGCAAGCGGCATGAGTCCCGGCTGGTGGAGATCGACGCCGGGCACCAGCAGGAATACGAGAGCAAGCTGGCGCAGGCCCTGCAGGACCTGCGGGCCGAGCACATGGACCAGGTGCAGCTCTACAAAAATGAGCTCGAGAACAACTACAAGACCAAGGTGAGGCCGAGAGGCGGAGAGCAAGAATGTTTTTATTGCTCCTTCTCGCTTCTGCTACTTCTTCTTCTTCGTGCGAGCGTATGGCCCGGTGTGTAGCGACTTAGAGGTCTGTGTCCACGTTTGAAACCCACTCCGGCGGCCTCACGTGAGGCCCGAATCAACTTCTGCCGATGCCTCTGTGGACTTTGTGAAGTTGGCGGTGGCTCTCTGTGCGCCCCCACGGTTCACAATGCTCGTCGCCGCTTTCCAGTGGCGGTTCCCGAAGGTGGGGTTGGGTGCACAGGCTGCGCTGTGATTAACGTGCAGGAGGTGTTCTCTATCGTACGATGTGCGGGATTCGCGAAACGTGTGAGTGGTGGTGGTGGTGGTGGTGCTGATGACGACGACGATGATGCTGATGATGCTGCTGGCCATGCACGCCGGATCAGATGGAGAACGCGAAGATGTCGCTGCAGCAGAACTCGACGATGTCGGGCGTCGTGCAGGAGGAGCTCACCGAGTCTCGCATGCGCATCGAGACGCTCAACAACCAGCTGGGCGCCCTGCAGCGCCAGGTGGGACCCCCTCTCCCCCCCGCCCCCCTCACTCCCCCGCTAGCCCCCCACTCGCACGCCATGGTCGCAATCGGCATGGTTATCATCGTAATCCTCACCGTCATAGTTGATGTCGTCACGATCGCGATCATCGTCATGTTCAGTTATCATCCTCATCAATCATAATCATCGTCGTGATATCCATTAACATGGTCATAATCGTCGATTTTCATCATCACCCCACCGTCATCAATCATGTTTGGTGGCATGATAAACTATCACGCAAGCTCGAATCATCCTGGCAGCAGCTTTTGGCTAACCATTGAACAGAGATGGTGACCACATTGCATGTTTTCGGATGCGCTTCTGCGGCCGTCTGGAACGCGCTCCACCTTCCGATCTTGGGAAGCGGCTGGGAGCTATGCACTTGAAGATGATCTCGACTGACAAACTAATTCCTTAGCAACTGCTCGTTGTGTTAGGTTTCTTGTCCCTTCCCCGCACCTCCCGATTAGCACGGCTGGCCACGTACGACGGTGCGAAAGAATTTCAGCGTACATCGGTCGTCGTCACCGCCACTGTCGTCGTCGTCGTCACGGTCACGGTCACGTGTTGTCGTTTCGTGGCGGCGCCCCCGCACGCAGGTGGCAGGGGCGGAGGCGAAGATCCGCGACCTGGAGGAGACGCTGCGGCGCGAGCGTGACTCGCACTGGCGCCAGCTCGCCGACAAGGACCGCGAGCTCACCGAGATCCGGCAGGCGATGACGGCGCAGATCAACGAGTACGAGCAGCTGCTCGAGGTGAAGCTGGCCCTCGACATGGAGATCTCCGCCTACCGCAAGATGCTCGAGGGCGAGGAGGAGAGGTGCGTGGTCGTCGCCCACCGGCATCTTGGCCGTCGTCGTCGTTGTCGTCGTCGGCATCATCAGTGTCATCGTCGTCATCGTTCACAATGACCGTCAGTGTGTTTGAACGAACACGCGTGTGCCTACACCCACACATAAGCGCTGATTTGTAATCGCGCACGGATGCGCGGAATGCGCACGCACACATGCACACGTGTGCATATTCACTTATTGCTCGGAATAGTAAGTCGGCTTGGGCAGTGCACGTCGCGTCGCTAGTGGGGACGATCGCTCGTGGTCAAAACGAATGACGGAGTAGCGGCCAAACGAGGAAACGGCCAGGGACTGCATCGTCCCGGTGAACCGTTCGCCCGGTCGCGGATAGCTCACGGCAGCTGACGTCGATGACGGATGCCGACGGTCGCTCACGTCGCCCCCCTCCCCCCGCCCGCCCGCCCGCCCGCCCGCAGGCTGCACCTCTCCCCGAGCCCCTCGTCCCGCGTGACGGTCACTCGCTCCTCCGAGACCGTGCGCACCTCGGGCGGCGGCGGCGGCGCCGTCTCCCGCTCCGCGTCCGGCGCCGGCTCCGCGTCCGCCGCCGGCGGAGCCGCGTCGTCGCGCTCGTCGGTCGCGTCCTCCCGCGTGGCCGTGGTTCGCGGCGGCGCCGCCGCCTCGGGCTCCAACTCGGGCGGCCTGTCGCTGTCGTCTTCGGCGGCCAAGCGCAAGCGCCTGGACGTGCAGGAGTCGGAGGCGACGAGCAGCGTGAGCGTGACGCAGCGCGCCTCCGCGTCGGGCGTCATCGCCGTGGACGAGATCGACGCCGGCGGCAGATTCGTGAAGCTCATCAACGACTCGCAGCAGGCAAGGAGGCGGAGCCGCGCCGCGCGCGATGGCGACCCCCGCTCTTTTTTCCCATCGCGGTGCCCGACGTTTGGTCGCGCATGCCAACAGAGTGTCCGACGTTTCGCTCCCAGCACATTGTGCCGGACGGCACGCGGCATGACCCGCAAACGCATCGGGAGAGCCGGACAGCGGCGCAACCGTTTTTTCTACCGTGGCACCTCAACATGATGTGGATTCGTGCAGCTTTTCATTGAGTCTGCGTCTCAAGACGCTGTGCAAAAACAATGGCCGAAATATGTTCTATAGAGAGAAAGGAAAGTCGGTCATAGGCAGAGGAAATGAGGCCCTTGGGCTTGGACTTAGGCATGGAGTCGACAGCACAGATGGCTGGGGGAAAGCAGAGGCTGTCGCCTGATGATGCTGGTTGTTATTCCCGTCAAAATGTCGTACTCCAAGTGTCGATGTTGGTTTACTCTCCAACACACCGGTGTGCTGGACTAGTAACGAATTGTCATGTTTTGTTTACGTGACGAACCTTACTAAAGGGCTGTGTCGAGTGGTGGCGGGCTTAATGTAACGACACATTTATATTTACGCGATCTCAACCAAATTTTTGTCGAAAAAGCCTACTTCGTGTTCAACTAAGAATGAGCAACCCTCCCACTGGTCGAAGAAAGCCTCGGGTTTCGACAGAAGGGATAGTCTTTCACTTTTATGGGCAGGCACCACGGCACATGTAAGGAATTCCTTCCAGTATCTTCTCGCCAAATCTGAACGGAAGAAATTTACCACGCGCGGAACACTTTTACAGGTGCCTAGAATTTTAAGTGTTTCTCTGCCCCATGGGGCCCCAGTGAATGTTGCCCCAGACAGCTCGGCCAAGTGCGGGGCAAAACATAATGCAGCGATATGAATGAAAACAACAATAACTTGCAACTTGTATATTTAAAAACTCCTTTTAAACGCGGCCTATTCTTTGAGCAGGTCAAGTCTGAGGTCAAACGAGCGTTTGCGCGCTGTTCGCCTCCTGGTTGGCGGGGCCTCTGCCGAGCATTCCACATTCCTCCGTGCAGGCACCGATCTGGGAGTTGCGTGCAGGACAACCACAGAATGCTTCCTATAAAAGTCGCACCCCATCTTGATGACCCCAAAGGGTCATAGGCCGGAGGGTTATGGCCTCTAACTTGGATTTTAACTCCGTTTGTGGGTCGACACTCGAGCCCCAGTGATTTCAAGGCGGCAGCTTTTTAATTGTTTTGTTTGTGTGTGCGTGTGTCTGTGCGATTTGTGTTCTCTCGTCTGCGTGCGTATTTGTGTTGCCCCGTGCCCGCACGCGTGTGTGTCGCGTGTTCCCGTGTATGTGTTCCCACTCGCGTTCCCGTGGGGAGCAGGACCAAGCGGTTGGCGGGTGGACTGTGAAGCGCTCGATCCACGGCCACGCCGACATAGTCTACAAATTTACGGGCCGCACAATCGTCAAGGCCGGTGACAGCATCACGGTGAGCTGCCCACGTGACTACCCATGCCCCCATGCCCCCCCCCTCTCCCATGTTTCATGCAACACCAATCAGCCCATGCTGGGGGCACAAATCTCTCACTGCCTTGCTGCACAAGTCTCAAGACTCTTTCACAAGGAACACTTGACTAGTCATAATAATATTTCTTTTAAACAAATTTCCCAAATTGCTCTCCAATCCAAAATACAAAAATAACGACCATCATTGGAGCGGGGGGGAGGTGGGAAGAGGAGTTTGTTGAGCAAGTTTGGAGTTAGCTGAGCAAGTTTGGAGTTTGTTGAGCTAATTTGGCGTTTGTTGAGCTAATTTGAAGTTTGTTGAGCAAGTGAAGAGTTTGTTGAGCAAGTTTGGAGTTTGTTGAGCTAATTTGGAGTTAGTTGAGTAAGTTTGGAGTTTGTTGAGCAAGGTTGGAGTTAGCTGAGCAAGTTTGGAGTTTGTTGAGCTAATTTGAAGTTTGTTGAGTAAGTTTGGAGTTTGTTGAGCAAGTTTGGAGTTAGCTGAGCAAGTTTGGAGTTTGTTGAGCAAGTTTGGAGTTTGTTGAGCAAGTTTGGAGTTTGTTGAGCAAGTTTGGAGTTTGTTGAGCAAGTTTGGAGTTTGTTGAGCAAGTTTGGAGTTTGTTGAGCTAATTTGGAGTTTGTTGAGCAAGTTTGGAGTTTGTTGAGCCAGTTTGGAGTTTGTTGAGCTAATTTGGAGTTTGTTGAGCAAGTTTGGAGTTTGTTGAGCAAGTTTGGAGTTTGTTGAGCAAGTTTGGAGTTTGTTGAGCTAATTTGGAGTTTGTTGAGCAAGTTTGGAGTTTGTTGAGCTAATTTGGAGTTTGTTGAGCAAGTTTGGAGTTTGTTGAGCAAGTTTGGAGTTTGTTGAGCAAGTTTGTTGAGCAAGTTTCGAGTTTGTTGAGCAAGTTTGTTGAGCAAGTTTGGAGTTTGTTGAGCAAGTTTCGAGTTTGTTGAGCAAGTTTGGAGTTTGTTGAGCTAATTTGGAGTTAGTTGAGCAAGTTTGGTATCTCCCGCATCTCTGTCATCCACCAACCTATGTCAGCAGAGATCTGGATCACACGACGAGGATTCTCATGTCAACCGCGTGAGTCTGGAGAGGTCACGTGGCTCGTTTCCCTCGGTTCTCCTCTTCTGCATAATCATCCTCTCTCCTCCTCTTCCTTATCCTCCCACTTCCCCTCCTCCACTCTGCCACCTGCAGATCTGGGCGGGTGGCGCAGGAGTGCAGCACAACCCCCCGCGGGATCTGCTGATGAAGCAGCACTCGACCTGGGGCTCGGGCGACGAGGTCAGGGTCGTCGTCCTCAACGCCAACGGAGAGGTAATGGCGGGGAGCAGCACGTGCCACTAGCGGACCTCGCCTCGTCGCGGCGGTGACACGGGGACCATTTGTTTACCTTGCAGTGATTGGTCATCAGGGGTTGCCTTTTTTAAATAAATATAAATCGGTATAAATAATGGCAGTGTCAACGTGCTCACTTGAGCTGCCCTGAGCCAGCGGTGGAAATTCCACGTTCCCCCCAGTGGAAGTGGTTTATTCACAGGACGACCGCTTCAGAAAAATCGACTGGAGGAGCCCGAGTCACAGCCGTCGCAAACACACAGCCGCCGCAAAGACACAGCCGCCGCAAACACACAGCCGCCGCAAAGACACAGCCGCCGCAAACACACAGCCGCCGCAAACACACAGCCGCCGCAAACACACAGCCGCCGCAAACACACAGCCGCCACAAACACACAGCCGTCGCAAAAACACAGCCGCCGCAAACACACAGCCGCCGCAAACACACAGCCGCCGCAAACACACAGCCGCCGCAAACACACAGCCGCCACAAACACACAGCCGTCGCAAACACCGACGGCTTGCGGAGAACGTGCCGGGGATTATTGTCGAAGTTACTGTTTTTTAATCTGAGCACTGTGTGTGTACGTGTGCGTTTGTGTGTTTGTATGCATGCACATGTGCGTGCGTGTGCCCGTGCATGTGCCCGTGCGTGTGCCCGTGCGTGTGCCCCGAGCAGGAGGTCGCGATGCGTCAGATTCTGCGCCGGCAGGGCGCAGCTGGGGAAGACGATGATGAAGATGAAGATGTGGTAGAGGCCAACGAGGCGCTCTTCCACCAGCAGGTATCGCGCAGGAAGTGAACCGCGCGCTCTGCCCCCCCCCCACCGCCGTCTCTCTTCTCCTCCATCATGGCGTCGGTCCTCACTCCGACACAGGCGGGGGGCGGAGGGAGCTGAGAGGCGTGCGTACGTGCGAGTGAGTGGGTCGTGCACGCACGCAGGCACGTATCGCGCGAGCACAAGGCCCTGGGGCCTTCTCGACTCCTCCGGTCGATACCAAAGATTCGTGTCCTCGCATGTTTGAAACATTTGCTTTTTAAAAAAAAAAAATATGAAAACGTTGGTAGTACAGTAGTAGGCTTAATGCCTTAGTGCTTTTTTTTGTAAACGGGCCAACGGTGCTTTTGCAAAGGGCTGCAATTCCCGTCCTCCTGCTCCTCCTCCTTTTCCACCTTCGCCGATGAAGACGGCAGCGGTTTAGTTTTCTTCTCTGCTTGCTGTGTCGCATGTTTCTTTATTTGACGGATCTCCGAGGCTTCTTCGGGTCTTAGCTGCACGCGAGCGGTGCTCGGATGCAGAAGGAGCATTCGGGCAATCGTCCTGTCGAGTTGCTTCGGCCAAAAGCTGGATGTAACAAAAATAATCCATCCCCTTTTGCTGCTCAAGCGATCTCCCGTAAATATCCAAGATTCGCCCACCCTGCTCAATGCCCACCAAGTTTTAGTCGCTCCTGTGTTGAATTTGGAACACAAACATGGTTAAAGAACGACGCAAGGAAAATAAACAAGGGCGCTTACTTCGCAAATATGTACTTGTGTGTAGCGGGGCGGTCTGACACAAGATTGCAGCTTCGTTCATGTGAAAAAAATGTAAAAAATTCTGAGGTCACTAAAATCGTAGGGCTGTCGCAAATATGTTATTTGCATACCGTTTGCATGACAACCACCGACCCAAGGTGACTCATTCAAGCAAATTTAAAGCGTTTTATTTTTGTGTCGAGCACAGCCTGCAACTTGTGTTGGGCAGCCCTGAACGATGCGGCCTGGGCTACGCCCATGAAGTTGGGGCTTGTTTGGTTTGTTTTGGGTTTCCGTTTTCGCTGTCCGGTTCAAAAAGGTTTTTGAGGTCTGTGACATCGCTAGAATTGTGGCGCTTGGATGATGATGGGCTTCCGATAATCTACCTCTGCAACTCGAAAAGGTGTGAAGGTGGAGAACTCGATACTCAGCAGGAGTAACCACAACTCTACGGTCTGTGTAAAACGTAATCAATAATCTGGGAATATTAATAAGTAATTTGTTCCATTTCAACGGTAAAAATGTTTTCCGTGGGGGTGACCGCTTCATGGGTGATTTCTGGAACTTGATGGGAGGGGGGGAAGGGGGGGGATCTGTGGCTCTCGGAGATAAAGCTTTTGGTCAGAAGGGCTCATTGCGTGTATCGTCGCTTCATGCCTTTGCGACGTCGTCCCCGCGAGCGTCGGTGCCGCGTTCCATGGCTGTGTCTTGATCGGTTTCCCTCCTCCCATGTCACTTCCTGTCACTTCATGTCACTTCCTGTCACTTCCTGCCCCCGTCCGGCTCCCTCCCTCTCGCATCTTCTCAAGTGGTGGTTTAGTTTCTTCACTTTTGGAAGAAAAAAAAGCAATTGGTAAAAAGAAAAATGAGTTTTTTGTTCTCTCTATATATGAATGAGAGGAGTCATGTTTGGGGAAGGAAAAAAAAGAATGATACCATTCATTCATGGTGACCCTAATAAGCCAGCGTAGTGCAAATTCCATGTTCCCATTGCACGAGCCGGCCTTTCGACCCAACACAATTTATAATACGATTTGGATTTACAGTCTTGTCTAAAAACACACCTGCACGTGGAGACGCTGCACAGAGACGAACGTGACTCTCTCATTGCATATATCACGTGTGTACGCATGCACCAACACGCACACACACACACCAGGAGGTGTACGGTTAGTGGGCTACGCTGGAAATGTGCCAACCCTAAGCAGTGTCGCACACGCGCGTGCACGCACACACACACGTCCTGCGAAGCGCAGTCCCCTTTACCAGGATGTGACCGATTTGAAGCTGGGGGCTGAGACATCCCCTCTGTCGGGACTTGTCCCCCACTTTTAGCTTATTGTGGCTTTCACCTTGTTGGGCTTTCACCTCAGCTCACCAAACTCTTGTTCTATACAGTGACGGCTTCAAAGGGGTTGCGATACTCCGCGAAATACACCCCTAACCGCTCCCTTGCCAAGTCCCCCGTCAGCCGCCCTCGCAGCCCCAGGGCTAAACCGTTCGCGGGCCAGATGCCGCTCAAATGCCGCTCTCGCTGCGGTTTCTGGTGTCGCTGTGAATCCGAGACGAGCGCCGCCTGGATTTGATTAAACAATCGCCCGTGGATCTTACCGCAGGCTCTCTCGTCACGGTGCACCGTGCCCGGGTTCGTTCTGTTTGCGGGTCTGGTTGTGCGCGCGTATCGCGGTGCCGTGCTCCGACCACCGCCCCCGTGTGCCCGCGTGCCCGCATGCACACGGGGGCACGGGGGTGGGGGGGTGGGGGGGCACGGGGGTGGGGGCGGGGGCGTGGGGGCACCCCAGGCCTCGGCGCCGTCCCACGACCGGAGCGATCGCCCGCAAGGGATTTGCGCTCGTAGGCATCTCCTAGATGGAACCGCGGGGAGATGGTCCCGTGTCCGGGAGGCATTTATCCAGCAGTGGAGAGATCCACGGTGGATGACGACGATCGTGAGCTTAGCGGCCGTGGTGCAGTCAGAACGAGACTCGTTCTCCTTGGAATCGAAACACCTCCCACGGTGCTCACGATTTGCCCCCCCACCTCCCGCCCCTGGTTGTGGAACTGCATTTCGAGGTACAGTCGCAATCTGATTTGATTCTAATCCACCGTGCGTGTTGTCGCACTATAAATCCCAGTGCATTGCTCAAACGAGAACTGGGGATGTCATTAACTGTCAATTGGCAGCTCTGAGCCAGTGGTGGAACTTACACATCACCGTGACAGTCAGTCTGTCCATGAGACTATGGTAATGTTTGATTTTTGTATTTACTGCCCATTGTCGATCTACTGCTGGATGACGGCTTCCCCAATCTCATCACCCCATCGGACACGGGGTTCTTTGATCCTACTTCACCACGTCTGTTCAGTGCGGGTTGGTGAATGCGGTTCAGATACCTCTCTCTCTACATTATTAACCATGGCTGGGAATCGAATTCGGCTCACCGGGTTCAGAGTGCAACGCACGAGCATCTCGCACCCCTCTATTGAAGTGCGACTCGGCAATATACTGGCTACAGCGATTCAGAGGTGTGCTCCTTTCCGTGTCAAATTACAAAGTATCGCACAGCCGGCCGTGCCAGGCGTCCTTCGCTGGTCTCTCAGCGACGGCGCCGTCCGGTTTGCGCCGTGCAACTCTGGCAAGCGAAAGCTCCCGTCGTGCCTGGCACCAGGCGTGCATGCGGGGACGGCCAGAGCGGCCCGGCGTTCGAGCCGGTGTAGCCCCTTGCTCGCACCGGCGCCGCCAGCACCGACGGCCGCACGGCTTCCAAAACCAAAACCCAGGGTCGTGTCCACGCACCAGCAGGAGGGCGCCGAGCGCGGCGCCGACTCGACAGAGGAGACCATCTCGGAGTACGAACTGCGCTCCCGCACGGTGCGGCACAACACGCCCGGCGGCGGCGGTGACGGCGGCGACGGCGGCGGCGGCAATTCCTCGTCCCGGTCGAGCCGCGCCGGCTCCGCGACCCGCTCGCGGACCACCACCGCGAGGGCGTCGGCCGCGAGCCAGTCCGGGAGCAGGTCGGGCGTGCCCGACGAGGCCATCCTCCGTCTCGGCATCTACTCGGCCGGCGTGGGTTCGCCCGAGCCCCGCGGCGGGATTCACGTGGGCGGCGAGGCGGCCGTCGGCGCCGTCCGCCTGTCGACGGGGCAGCAGGCGAGCGGCGCGAGCGTGACGAACACGACGAGCGTGACCACGCAGCGCGTCGAGACCAGCCAGGTGCCGCGCGGCAGCCTCGCCGCGTTCTTGCGCAGATAATGCCTTGCGGTGGCTTTTTTTAGAAGGTGGGGGCACGGGGACTCAAACTTGGCTGGGCAGGGAAGATTGCTCCAGTAATGGCTGTTGGAGATTCTGGGTAACAATATGGGGGTGGTCATTTGATGTTTGAATGAATAGGGGGTTGTCGTAAGATTTTGGTAAGTTTCTTTGAATTTGGTCACGTTTGGATGTGGGTTCCACGTCGCAGTTGTTGGTAGTTTTGTAACCGAGTGTCAACGGAGAAGCCGACGGTGCTACCGAGTGTCGATCGGCACCCATTCTCGGCGGCGGTGGTTGTTTCGAGGGAGAAATAATTATGCGTGTAATTCCAGGACCATTGATGTAGGGGCTGTAAAGGGACATTGTGTCACCTGGCAACTTGTTCTCCGATGGCACAAATATATTCTTTGCAAAACTTTATATTTTTGGAGGGGGGCGGGGGTGGGGTGGCGGGAAATGGAACGTGAAAACAACACATTTGCTCTTAATTTTGTGTGTCCCTCCGCTCTCCGGTTCAACACAGATGCCTTATTTACACGTAGCTCTACCTGAAGTTTGACGTTCTTACCTGTGCGTGTGTGTGTGTTGGGCTTTGCCGTGCAGTGTGGCATCGCATCTCGTGGAAACTGCATGTTTTGTTTTTGAGGTTATCTAAACGGTTACATTGTGAACACAATGCGCTTACTTTTGAGGGGAGGGGGTGGGAGAATGTATACGTATTACAGCGTACACGCGGTGTGTCTGTGCGGGTGTTACAACATTGCTTCTGGATTCGTTCCTGAATGAAACGGTTTTGTTCGTTGCATTTGATTTGTCGGCGTTGCTCTGCCCACATTCCTGTGATGGATGGTGCCTTTGTTGTCAAAATCCTCTTCCAAATATCTCGTATGGCTTGGCACTTTCCAGCTTAACTCCAGCGTATAACAATGCAAAACACGAACCGCCAACACCTCCGTGCCTCGTTTAGAGAACTCGCTCGCTTTTACGAACTTTGTTTTGCTCGGAAACCTCTCCATCTGCCCTCAACCCCGCCGTTGTCCTTTGTCGTCTTCCTCCAATCCCTCAAACTCATCTTCGCCCCCCCCCCCCTTCATGACTCCGCCGTGGGCCAGATTTACTCGTTGATGATTATTGTCCAATTTCATTTTTTATAAATCCTTCTTTGGAGAGAGAGAGAGATGAGTCGCCACACAGCTCCGTGTCCCCACGACTGCTTACAACCCCGAGAGAGGCGCAAATGGGCCCCAGGCAATGTGATTCGGGGTTCCCACTGGTCCCCGGTTCTCTCTCATTTTTGTCTTTCGGTAATCAACATGTCCTTGGTGAAGCCGTTCGTCTTCCCGGGTTGTCCGTCGCATAGACACCAGCAGAGACGACGCTTCTACATGGACTTATCTTCCATCAGTGTTGAGATATTTTTCCTATGGCTTATTGTTTTGACCGTTTTGCCAACCCGTGAATCTCTCCCCCGGCTCGCTGCCCCTGACCGCAATCAAAGATTGACGATCCCAGCGGCTCACTCGAGCGGACGGTGGCCTGCAGCGGCGTGTCTCGAAAGCATGTTGTCACTTTGCTCGTTGTGAATCGTGCCTCGTGGCAGGCGGCAAGCACAGGTGGTGGCTGCAGCTTCCATCCAAAAACAACAACAATAACAACAACCTCTCGTGTTTGGGAGCCCTGGTGGCGGATCGCGGGCGGATGGTGTGCTGGTTTGCGCGCGTTCGTCGCTGGAGCTGCGGTGAAGCTTCACGCTCGGAAATATGTAGACACGCTCGCTTTTGGGTGCTTCGGTAAGCTATATAAGGGTAACATATTTTATCCCACTGAGAATAAAGACATGCGTATATATAAAATGATGTGTTCGCTTTGCAACACGAGGCGATGGAGGACGGCTGTGGCGGGACCCAGCCTGGCATTACAGTTTGTGTTGACAGCTTCAGGTTTTTGTTTTTTTACCCAGGACAGTGTTGCCAGATCGGAGGTTACTTCGCTCAGGATACTGTAAGATATATACTGTATTGAGGAAACTTATCATTGGCAAGAAGTCCTATTTCGTTTTCAAGGTTCCAGCATTGAGGGTTTATTTTTACCCCCCCCCCCCCTTCCCTTAGCCAGCAACAATGCTCGCAAACGTGCCTTGTTTGGTTGATTGGAGAATCATTGTTATTTTATGTGTCTCTTGAAAATGGAGATGACTCGCACATCTTATTTTCCTGGCACAATCTGGAGGTTTTGTATCCGTAGGGTCGCGATTCGAGAGAAATCTTTTCTCAACGCTTTGAGAACAACGCGAATGATGGCCTCCTCTGAAAATGCCACAGATCCTCAAACCAAACAATTTGCAGATCACAATGTTGACCCGAGTGGGGGCCTCCTCTTCTCAGTCCCCTTGATGGTAACCGACCATGACCCCTTCAGGATTTATGGAATCCCCCCCCCCCTCTCTCACATCATGCGCCCCATTTTGAGTACAACAGGCCACGAAGGGTTTTATTCTTTGTATCTGGCAACACTGGAACGGGGCTTGCGTCCTGAGGTGGAGGCGTTTGCCTCACGACTTCCATTCCAAAAGCGTGGCTGATTGTCGCCGTGGGACCACGTTCTCCGCACGCCGCCTCCCTCCGCTTGCTCGATATTATCCGCTTTTCGCTAGGCGCTACAACAATGTTTTTCTTTTTCTGGCAATTAAAAATCTTTGTTAACACCAATGCTTTTTGTAAATGTGTTTGTGCAAATCTTGCGGTGGCTCTGTACCTGTGGGTTAAGCGCATCCTAACAAGACCTTACACGTTTGAAAATATGTTTTTTTTTAAACTTTGCTTTGCTCAGGAAAACTTGACTCTCAAGGCTCATTTTCATGAGGGTTCTGCTTGGGATGGTGGGGCCCTAATTTGTTAACATTTTTTTCATGAGATAGAAAACTAAAATACCTAGAAAAAACTTCACCTAGAGATGCCAGTGATCTATTTGCCCGACAGTCTTTTAAGGTTGCCTGTTGGCCTGCAAGTTGAGTATCTCGCAGCACATTAATGATATATTTGTAGTCTACCAACTCTGTCTCACAGTCACCGGATTATAAACGCTTTCCACCACCACGCAAGTAAAGCATCCGTTTTCAAATATTTGTACATTAGCAGGCGGTTTGAAGAGAAAGCTGAATGTTGGGGTTATGTGAAGGATGAAATGTGTGTGCCAAATCATATTGAGTGGTCTTCTTGGTCCTTTCGGTAAAGTCACGTAGAATGAGAATAAAACAATAAAACAAAATAAGACAAAATTATCACGACGTTTCGGCCACAACACAAGTAGCCTACTTCAGGTGAAGGAACAGAACTGTCGGGACGACAGCGCTTCAATCGAAAAATATTGAGTGGTCTTCAACAGCACAGGATCATTCGGAATAATCGCAGCCAAGATCTCGGTAAACACCTGGTCATCTCTAAATCTCGATACAATGTGCGCCACCTTCATCGTGGTGGAGATGTTGGAGGTTTCGAGGGACGAGACTCGTCGCCCTGGCAACATCTCTTCACACTACCAAGTGCACACGCGCGTGTGTGCAGCTTTGTGGACCGGGCTTAGTGGGGAGCAGGTAGTGTAGCAGGTAGCGCGCTGCCCTATGAACCCGACGACCCGGGTTCGATTCCCACTCACGACCAACACCGGTGAGGATTATCTGAACCGGTCCTGGGCCTCCCCTAGGTCGACTCGGCCTCAAATGAGTACCTAAACATCGTCACTGGGGAGACAAAGGCGGTCGGGCGTGGTGCTGGCCCACCCACCCCTTCGTGTACCGTTCCGGCCTTCATAGGTGCTACTCGCTAACAGCACTTGCCCCTACAGTCTGTTAAGGCTACACGGGGGTATTTGGTTTGAACGGGGCTCAGAATTGCTATCTAATTCTAATCCTTTAATAACAGATCATACTTTTGTGGACACCATGTGTTATTGCAACTCCCAGGGAATTAAATGGTGGAGAAATTGTCCCGGAGTTAATGATAACATAGGTACAGTATTTTGGCCTGCAGAGGCTTTTTTCTCCCATATATCTACAGTAATTACTCTAATCCACAACCTCGCACAGCACACATCTTACAATTAAGGTATTGTGTTGGGTATAGGATTATAGCTCTTTTAGAGGTGTGTTTCGCTATACAATGAAGGTGGTGCCTTTTCAAGACTTGTATATAGGTCATGTTTCAAACAAGGTAAGTTACGTAGCATTATACGGTAGTTTAATTCCGACAAAATTGTTCTCTTCCCGAGTTGTTTCCATTACCGATATCCATGGTCACAGGCACCACAGTGTAATTAAATACAGGTGTGGGCGAGTGAGTCTGCGGATGAGTGTCCACGCGTGTGCGTGCGTGTTGCGTGCGAGTGTGTTGGAGCGGTGTTGTCGCTCGCGGCTAACGCCATGCGCTCGCTACGAACCCGGCAAACACGAGTTCGATTCACGCTCACGGCCACCGCCCGTGGCGAATATCTGAACGGGTCCCGGGCCTCCCCCGAGGTCGGCTCGGCCTCAAAGTAGTACCTGGTACCTGCTGCGGTGTGTAAACATCGCTACTGGGGAGACAAAGGCGGTCGGGCGTGGTGCTGGCCACCCACCCACTCGTATTTTGTGCCAGCCTTGCCGCAACAATATGTTAAAGCAGGAGTCGCCAACCCCCGGGCGGCACAGCAGCAGGAGGTGAGAGCGGTGAGTCCGCGCCTCTTTCCCGCACTGTGCACTTGTCTCAAATACAAGTTTTGGTAAGCCCACAAGCTAACCCCTAGTAGTCACAATGAGTAAGCCCACAAGCTCTAACCCCTAGTAGTCACAATGAGTAAGCCCACAAGCTCTAACCCCTAGTAGCCACAATGAGTAAGCCCACAAGCTCTAACCGCTAGTAGCCACAATGAGTAAGCCCACAAGCTCTAACCCCTAGTAGCCACAAGGAGTAGGCCCACAAGCTCTAACCCCTAGTAGCCACAATGAGTAAGCCCACAAGCTCTAACCCCTAGTAGCCACAAGGAATAAGCCCACAAGCTCTAACCCCTAGTAGCCACAAGGAATAAGCCCACAAGCTCTAACCCCTAGTAGCCACAATGAGTAAGCCCACAAGCTAACCCCTAGTAGCCACAATGAGTAAGCCCACAAGCTCTAACCCCTAGTAGCCACAATGAGTAAGCCCACAAGCTCTAACCCCTAGGAGCCACAATGAGTAAGCCCACAAGCTCTAACCGCTAGTAGCCACAATGAGTAAGCCCACAAGCTCTAACCCCTAGTACCACAATGAGTAAGCCCACAAGCTAACCCCTAGTAGCCACAATGAGTAAGCCCACAAGCTAACCCCTAGTAGCCACAATGAGTAAGCCCACAAGCTAACCCCTAGTAGCCACAATGAATAAGCCCACAAGCTCTAACCCCCAGTAGCCACAATGAGTAAGCCCACAAGCTCTAACCCCTAGTAGTCACAATGAGTAAGCCCACAAGCTCTAACCCCTAGTAGCCACAATTAGTAAGCCCACAAGCTCTAACCCCCTAGTAGCCACAATGAGTAAGCCCACAAGCTCTAACCCCAGTAGCCACAATGACTAAGCCCACAAGCTCTAACCCCCTAGTAGACACAATGAGTAAGCCCACAAGCTCTAACCCCTAGTAGCCACAATGAGTAAGCCCACAAGCTCTAACCCCTAGTAGCCACAATGAGTAAGCCCACAAGCTCTGACCCCTAGTAGCCACAATGAGTAAGCCCACAAGCTCTAACCCCTAGTAGCCACAAGGAGTAAGTCCACAAGCTCTAACCCCTAGTAGCCACAAGGAGTAAGCCCACAAGCTCTAACCCCTAGTAGCCACAAGGAGTAAGCCCACAAGCTCTAACCCCTAGTAGCCACAATGAGTAAGCCCACAGGCTCTAACCCCTAGTAGTCACAATGAGTAAGCCCACAAGCTCTAACCCCTAGTAGCCACAATGAGTAAGCCCACAAGCTCTAACCCCTAGTAGCCACAATGAGTAAGCCCACAAGCTCTAACCCCTAGTAGTCACAAGGAGTAAGCCCACAAGCTCTAACCCCTAGTAGCCACAAGGAGTAAGCCCACAAGCTCTAACCCCTAGTAGCCACAAGGAGTAAGCCCACAAGCTCTAACCCCTAGTAGCCACAAGGAGTAAGCCCACAAGCTCTAACCCCTAGTAGCCACAAGGAGTAAGCCCACAAGCTCTAACCCCTAGTAGCCACAAGGAGTAAGCCCACAAGCTCTAACCCCTAGTAGCCACAATGAGTAAGCCCGCAAGCTCTAACCCCTAGTAGCCACAATGAGTAAACCCACAAGCTCTAACCTCTAGTAGTCACAATGAGTAAGCCCACAAGCTCTAACCCCTAGTAGCCACAAGGAGTAAGCCCACAAGCTCTAACCCCTAGTAGCCACAATGAGTAAGCCCACAAGCTCTAACCCCTAGTAGCCACAATGAGTAAACCCACAAGCTCTAACCCCTAGTAGCCACAATGAGTAAGCCCACAAGCTCTAACCCCTAGTAGTCACAATGAGTAAGCTGACAAGCTCTAACCCCTAGTAGCCACAAGGAGTAAGCCCACAAGCTCTAACTCCTAGTAGCCACAATGAGGAAGCCCACAAGCTCTAACCCCGAGTAGTCACAATGAGTAAGCCCACAAGCTCTAACCCCTAGTAGTCACAATGAGTAAGCCTGCAAGCTCTAACCCTAGTAGCCACAAGGAGTAAGCCCACAAGCTCTAACCCCTAGTAGCCACAAGGAGTAAGCCCACAAGCTCTAACCCCTAGTAGTCACAATGAGTAAGCCCACAAGCTCTAGCCCTAGTAGCCACAAGGAGTAAGCCCACAAGCTCTAACCCCTAGTAGCCAAAATGAGTAAGCCCACAAGCTCTAACCCCTAGTAGCCACAATGAGTAAGCCCACAAGCTCTAACCCCTAGTAGCCACAATGAGTAAGCCCACAAGCCCTAACCCCTAGTAGCCACAATGAGTAAGCCCACAACCTCTAACCCCTAGTAGCCACAAGGAGTAAGCCCACAGGCTCTAACCCCTAGTAGCCACAAGGAGTAAGCCCACAAGCTCTAACCCCTAGTAGCCACAATGAGTAAGCCCACAAGCTCTAACCCCTAGTAGCCACAAGGAGTAAGCCCACAGGCTCTAACCCATAGTAGCCACAATGAGTAAGCCCACAAGCTCTAACCCTTAGTAGCCAAAATGAGTAAGCCCACAAGCTCTAACCCCTAGTAGCCACAAGGCGTAAGCCCACAAGCTCTAACCCCTAGTAGCCACAATGAGTAAGCCCACAAGCTCTAACCCCTAGTAGCCACAATGAGTAAGCCCACAAGCTCTAACCCCTAGTAGCCACAATGAGTAAGCCCACAAGCTCTAACCCCTAGTAGTCACAATGAGTAAGCCCACAAGCTCTAACCCCTCGTAGCCACAATGAGTAAGCCCACAAGCTCTAACCCCTAGTAGCCACAATGAGTAAGCCCACAGGCTCTAACCCCTAGTAGTCACAATGAGTAAGCCCACAAGCTCTAACCCCTAGTAGTCACAAGGAGTAAGCCCACAAGCTAACCCCTAGTAGCCACAATGAGTAAGCCCACAAGCTCTAACCCCTAGTAGCCACAATGAGTAAGCCCACAAGCTCTAACCCCTAGTAGTCACAATGAGTAAGCCCACAAGCTCTAACCCCTAGTAGCCACAATGAGTA